ATTAAATATATTTAGGTTTTGGACCTTTAGATTATTTTTGTACATTTTAGGGACAATAATTTGCAGATCAATTGACAATGAAAATAAGTTTTTTGTCTTATTCTAATGTACTTGATATTATATTGACTGGGATGTAATGATATGCTCAGCTTATGATTTGATACAATTCTGGGTTTACAATTATGTTTTCTTACTATGTTTTAAACAAAATGAAATTAAAGACAAATTATGACTAAAAAAAGACTTTTCCTTTTCAAATGATAGAATTGCTTTTATTTCAGACTTCCAAAGTAGGGCTGTGTATCAGCAAAAATCTGCCGATACTATACGTATCACAATACAAGGGTTATGATTGTCTAATTTTAGGGAAACTGTCATAGATAAACACTACACTATATGTATAAAATCTGAGTAAAAGAAGTTTACTTATGCAATAAGAACAGTGGGATTTGTATCTACTACAATTCCAGTAACGTCCAGCACTACTTTTTGTGCAATATAAGCATTGAAGCGGAGTTAAATGACCGAACAACACTGCCATCTAGCGGTCGAGAGTTAAAACACATCATCTTTACACTAAAGTATTAATTGAAAATCAAGTGTTTTAATATTTTCTTACACCCCTTCCAAACTTCAGATGAAGATAAAAAAAACTATCCTGATGGACAAAATCAGCAGATACTGATACTCACCCAACATCCTCTCTTCAGTCCTATCCTCTCCTCTCAATCTCTCTGCCCGCAGCTCTGAAACGTTGTATTAAAAAGTTGTGTCTCATTATTTCCCCAACTGTTTTACTGTGCTATAGTAGTCAAAACAATGTGGTAAAATGTCATTGACTCACTTTTGGCTCAACAATCTCTTTATTTATCAGACAGACAGGAAAACCACTCAAGTGATCTTTTCAAATGATATTTACAATGTATAACTTAGGAATGGACCAATATATTGTGAGATGGTTAAATCACGATACAAATACGTGGAGTATACCTCCTAAACAAAAACTCAGATGCTGGTGAAAAAGCTAAAAGCAAAACGCATTGTTCACTCCCAATACAATCACAATCAAGTCATCCAGTGTACAGAATAATAATAGAACTAATGATATTCCCATGGCATTATTTGTTATTAGCTCTGTCAATCATCATAAAGCAGTCTCCGGATTGGCATTAAAGGAAGAGAGAAGGACATGAAGAATTACACGATTTAGTTTTCTCAATATTTATCCTAAACCTCAATATTTTCAAGGGGAGCACTTCACTTTTGCAACTTTTTTTCTGATTTGGCCATAGTGGGTAATTTAAGGCTGACTCGCCATATGTCTACACGTTCCTCACCTTTAACCATCTTCTGGTGGATACTATTTGGAGAACAACAGCCAAAAAATGAATGCGCTCATTTGGAAACATTTATTCTCTAGTGTGTTCTTTCATTTGGTACAGACATCTCTTCACCAGGTCCGTTTTAGTGGTCTTCTCTATGCATCTCCCATAGGCTTCAATGGAACTGGCACTTAACAGCATTAGATTGTTGGTGTTATGATCTAATGACATAACCAGTGCCCATGTTTCATTTACTGCAATGCAAATTATATTCAACACTGGCTATCATACTATAAGACGGTAAAATGTTTGATATCTTGATTTGTAAGTGAAACGTTTTATGTTATTTATCTTCCTGTATTGATTTGAAAACTCCCCAAAATGAGCAGGAAGTGTCAACACATCTGAGCTACTTTTAGCTAACACCCAAGTTAAGAAAAAAACCCAATAACTTCAAAGTATACGTAGCAATTTCAACACCATCATCTGCGCGAGACACACACACCCTAGTGTGACACACGTGCGCGAGAAAAAAAACGCCCCCCACACATGCGCATACACGCTTACTACCTACCTTTGAGTATGGGGTAGATGAGGGCGCACAAACAACCAACAGCGGTCACTGCCACGGCGGAACTCAACACTGACATCACGACGACGGACCACAGTTTGGGGCCTCTCCGGGTGGTGAATGTCCGTCCCACACTCGCACCGTGTCCCTCTTCTGACACAGAACGAGATTCTGTATGTTCCATATCCTCTGGCGAATATGAGCGACCGAAACTTTCTCTCAAAACGTCCGTGTCTGTCACACTCCTCGGCATTCTGGTGGAGTTAAATTGTGAACTTTCTTTTAGGAAACATGGGACAACTTGAGTATTTACAGACTTAACTCAGAGCGCGTGTGTTAAACTGCATTGTAGCCTACAAACTGACCGTTTCACAGTTGTATCAGGAACTGCTGGAGCAGGTTTGTTTGGCCTTTTTCCATTCGCACTTCCGCACACAGAATTGTCCCTCAGGCCGTTCCGTCAGTGCAGCTGTAACTATTTTTTTAATGTATTTTTTTTTTTTTTTTACATTTGTATTAAAGCCTGTGTCAAACATTCACTGCCATCAGTTTAACCAGGACAAGGTCTGTAATTTTACAAAGGAGTCTTGATTTACTGTAAAATATTGATGACGTGCACAAAGAAAAAAAAAAGGTTTACTTTAGCCTACAGGGTGTCTTCGGGATCTTAGAAAAGTCTAAATTCCAATAATATGAATGATAGGATTTAAAAGGTCTTAAAAATGATGTGGACAGGTCTTAAAAATGATTGGATTAATTAAACTGTTTTTATTGGTGACATTATTTGTAGACGGGAGATGGCTCTCATCGGTCACTTAAAGAGTCGACTTGTCCATGAACGACTCAACCATATGGAACCAATTGCCTACTTCATATACTTCATACATTGTTTTTGTCAGTATGGATTTGAAATAAGTCTTAAATTGCACATACTTAAAAGGGTCTTTAAAAGTCTTCAGTTTAACCTGTCGAAACCTGAAGAAACTCGTTTTTCACCAGGAGAATCAGGGAGTCCTTCCCATAGTTCTTATTCTTTATCGTGCCACAGGAGAAGCATTTATATATACTTTCCTTTAACTTCAAACAATGTCTAGACCAATAAATAATCTGGGTCTATACATTGGCCAATATTATCTTATTACAGCTATATTGGTACATGTCTGCCAGTAAGTAACAACACAGGACAGGAATACCAAACTAGGTAGTTATATCTATACATAGACCTACATGTCTCAGTTTCAGATGGACCCAATGAATGCACATACTAAAGAGTTATCCTAAACAAGTGATTTTTTGTGCTGATATAAAGATATGTACATCGCTGCTTTTAGAGAAAGTGAGAATCAGACTCACTTTTATTGGCCAGGTATGTGCACACATACAAGGAATTTGACTCTAGGTTTATATTGCTCTCAATACAAACACAACATAATAAACAATAAACAAAACAACAGGATTAACAAAATAGATGGACTAATATGTACAATTACACATATATAAACAAACAAAAAACAACATTTACATTTGTAGACAGTAGACAATATTGCAATGGTGCATAGTACAAAGGATGCTGAATTAAAAAATGTTTTAAGTAGTTTTATTTTGACAGCTAGTACATTACAAACAACAACAACGTGCAATAATAAATGGACAATAATTACTGTGCAATCTATTCGCCCATGTGCAACTGCTGCTAGTATTGTTTATTGTTTCATCTGTTTTGTTGGTTTTTTTATGTTTTTTTTTCTCTGTACAGTGGTTTATATATTTACTATTTATTATTTTTTTGATCACTCTCACGTGTCTTTATTACTGTTTTTTTCTCTATCCACTTTGCTGCTGTAATATTGGAATTTCCCCATTGTGGGACTATTAAAGGAATATCTTATCTTATCTTATTATAAACAGGAATGCAAGTTTTATTTTGAAAATAATAAACCGGAAGAGGTGTTGACGCAGATTGCCGCTGTCAACAGCACTGATCAAGTCTACGGCGACTACAGACGCCACAAAACCCATCGGGTGATTATAAAGCAACTACACAATTACGGTAAATAAAACGTTTCACTGTGCTGACTTTTGTGATTTTATATAAAACTCAACAATTAAGGTAAACGGACAACAATGGCGTGAGGCTTTTGTGGTCGTGTAGTCGTACAGTATCATGGGGCTAATTTGTTGTGGTAACATTGCTTTGTTTTACTGCGGTGATATGGTTTAGCTAGGCTTGATTTTAGTATTTATCTACATGAATGAATTTCCACACAACGCAGGAAGCGTTTGTATACAATGTCTGTGTTTCCGACAGATATACTGCTAAATGATTCATACTAGCTTGCCAAGGCAGTTTGCTAATGTGTTTTAGCTTTGTAACATTTGTCAGCTAACGTTACGTTAATGTTGCTAAGTTAGCCTGTTTAGCTTTTTTAAAGAAACAGCTAAGATGACTAAAATGTGTTTCTTTAGCTGACTTTGTGGGTTAAAGTAAAGTAGTCCAGTTACCTGACCGCTCACTTGTTGCTTTTATTAGCGGACTTATCAATAGATTGTTAGCTCCAGTACTGCCCCTCCTGTACGGAAAGAGCGATGTGCCAAACTCTACTTAAATATCTGTCAGTTTAATGTGCCTTGGTCTTTTCATTAACAAAACCGAACAAAATCAAAATTGATCGAATTTCCCCTAATATGGTTCCACTTGAAATTTCTGCATATATTAAAACCTTTACATATTTTCTGATATACATCTTAATAATTTTACTGGCAGTGGTCATTAGTCACTTCACGTTTGACTCTGTGTAGCACTGGACAATATAAGAGGGATGTAGATAATTATTTTGTTTAGAAAAAAAAACACAGTATCTTAGTGAGCTAACTCAGGCTCCAGACATATGTCAGTCTGCTTTCATTTGTGTACAATGACCTTGATAGTTAATTTTCCTCTGGTGCCATCAAAGTCACAATGAAACATATTCATAAAATGCAGAAATGCATGAAAATTGTGACCGTAAATCATAACAGGAAGGCTGTAGTGACCTAAAGGTTAGTGAAGCAGGCTCGTGATAGAATGGTGTCCTTGAGCAAGTCCCTCAGACAGCCCTTAACCCCAATGTGCTCACTGGCCAACAAATCAGACTGTGGTTGTACTGGGCAGTTTCCAGATGCGATTGTGAATAGAGAACACTGATTTTAAAACTAATGTGCTTAGATAAAGGATTAAAAGATAAATCCATTCCCTTTCCATCATATAAAACCATCCCTGTGTTTAAATCTTTCGATTGGTCGCTCTCAGAGCTGTAGACGAGTCAGCAGTTAAAGTACCCTCTTCCCTAAAAAATTTCACTAAACACCAAACCAATTATGTGTTTTGATTTTTCACTGAACTATATTATAAATAAAATGTTTTAAAAGCAGCTTCACACCACATGTCACACCAGAAATAAAGATCTGGTGGGGAATTTTTTATTAATGGGCCTTAAGCTGGGCATACACAGTACAATTTGAGCCAGTTTCTGAACCGGGTTCCAAGGGGGATCCCTCTTGCACACTGTTCCCAAATGGCTGTGGGGCAGTTGGATGAATTACATGTTAGAAATTTTGGTCAGCCGATGTTCGGCTCTTGCTCAGTTGAAGCAGAGCCACGAGCCTATTCCCTGAAGTCTGTGCCTTTTTTCCCACTGCGCCAAGTTGCGAACAGTCTGAAAGTGTCATGGCGACATGACGTGTCATGTGGACAGATGAGGCTGGTCAAGTCTGTTTGATGTTTTCCTCTTCCTTCTATCACGACTTTCTAAAATCATGCAGTGTATGCCTAGCTTTAAAGTAGTTAAATTTAAACATTTTGATTCTAAAATATACTGAAAGCAGCCTAGAAAAACATCCACTAAAAGATGCAGGTGATACACCCTCATTTTCCATAGAAACGGATGCAGTGTGGTAGTGGTTGCAAGGGGCAGTTTACTGAACATTTTATTGTGAAGATCAACAAAGTTGTTATTTCTGTAAGTCAACTTATTTAAACAAGCTTTACAGCTGCATCCATCTCATTCACACTCAGTGTCCTTAATGGTAGCTGGATGCAGCCCTGGCCCTTCTCTGGTGTTTTTGTCACATGAAATATACTATGTATATTGACCAAGTGTGTACTACTCAGGCTGTATGATTGTTATCCTTGTTGTATGGCCTGGCTCAGGTTAAACCTTTTGTGACGGTCATAGTAGGGCAGGTCATGACTTTGCTATCCTGGGGAACAAAATTGCGAACAGGAGGCTGCCGTGAAGGAGCAGGGTCCCATTTTGGGGATAGTAAATTACGTATTTTTGGAGACATTGCAGACATGCATTATTGCCAATACCTGATACTGCATTTTAGGCAGTATCGAGGAAATATCTGCAAAGCAAAGCGCTCCCACTGACTGAATAACGGTCATGTTTGCTAACAGTTCCCGGACTGGGAGTTCTATTGAAACCAGACTGGGACTGAACCGTACCGAGGTAGTTGTCCTGGCATCACTTGGCTGAGTCTGTTAACCTAACTCTGCTGCATAGCTAAGGATGTGGATCCAGTTGTCATGGTATTGGAGAATCTTCACTCCCCTGAGACAGGGACAGACCGAACGAAAGGATGGCAAACTGATATGTTTGGCCATTAAAAGCAGTGCAAAGGAATTGCATCATCCCCATCCTTCCCCGGAAGCTACTACTGGGCTGGGTGGGTAAGATGGCGCCTGCATCAATGCTTTAAGCTGCACTATTTCAACTCGTAAAGACTCCATCTCCTGATGAGAGGAAGCTTGCCCCTTCACCTTTTTGTGTGCTGGGTTATAACATGCTTTATTTGGCCTGCACTTCTCTCACTGTTTGTGGGAACCGCAGCTTCTATCCTTGGCTATTGAAGCAGCAGTGCTGTAAAGATGTCTAGGAAGTGCATTGTTTTTTTGTCTTGCTTGTTTTTTTATCTGTGGTAACAGGAACAGAATAAATCTGAGGGTTTTTTGTTAGCAGTGTAGTTTTTGTCCTTTTTTTTCTTCCTCGGGAACCACTTCCCAACATCCTGGAGGACAATTTGATTAAGCTGCTTTCCGCTGCTGCTCTGCAGTGCTGTCATAGAGAGGAGAAATGAGGGGGGCAGGGTGCTGCTGGATCCTTCTGTAAACTGCTTATATGTACTGTACACACTGTGTGTGCGTGTGTGTGCGCAGAACTGTATTGTAGGATGACCCCCAACATTGACACCTGCAGACAGGTGTTGTGGCTGGGCGGAGCTGGACAGGGACAGAACACCAGATGCTGCACTGCTCCACTGCTGTAAACCAGGCAGCTAACAGACTGCTTTACTGTCTTACTGACGAGCTGACTGCCTGCTTCATTGTCTACTGTGAATGTTAAATTGGAATTGTTTTACTGGGTGGACAGAGCATTGATGACAGGATGGAGGAGGAAGATAAAAAAGAAATGATACACAGTGAAAATAATGGCAGAGAAACTGAAGAGTTGAACGAGTCACGAAATGAAGCCGTCACCGTTAAACAGACATGGTCCAGTCACTGTTTTCAGACCTGGTGTGCCAAGAAAGATCTTTCTATTGATTTAAAAACAATCACCAAATGGGAAAGGTGAGCCTTATGGTTTTAGCAGTTAAGTTGGCCTATGAGTGGGGCTTTAACGGTACATCACCCATCAGCCGACCCTTGTGTTTGTTGAATGATTCATCATCACTAGCAATGTTTTTAAGTAATGTTGCAAACATTTGGGATAATGAAAGTACACAACACAACAAAATATAGAACATCTATAACATCTATAGAACATCTAGTGTTCTGTACACATTTTAATGTAGAAATATGACATCTTATAGCTTTAGATGTTTAGCTGATGATACTGCACAGCTGTGGTCATAAACCTGGATTTTAGGGCTGCAGCATTTTCCAAATATTATCGAAATTGCAATCTAGCCAAGTGCAGTATCCAAATAGCAGAAGCTGCATTTAAAAAAAAAAAAAAAGAAGTAAAATGTGTGACAGAACAATATAATGAAGTACTGTAGTGCTGAAGAGATGTCCTGGCCTTCAAATGTTGTTCTCTAAACATGCTTGTTTGGTACAGACCCAGAGAAATGTCACATCATTTTAATGACTTCTTCACAGTGGATGCTGTGTTTTGGTCTGGTGTTCACAGACAGCTTACCCCTTAGGTCACATGATGACCTTAGCCAGCTTCATTCAATGATGAAGACCGTAACATGTGAGTGAAATGAAAACCTACTTTGTTGCGTTTTAATCATCTAATTAAGTCAGCATTATTGTTGAATGAAAAAAATTGGTTGTAGTTCTTCACACAAACATACACACCAGTTATACAGTCTCGTCCAGCATAGTTTGTTTAAAATGGATGTTAAATGTGTTTTAAGTTTGCTACTGGTTCTTACTGGTTTCAGTTTTGAACTGTAAATCATGTCTACACATGACCTCAGTGACCACAGTCAGGTGGTGTCTCCTCGGCCTTCTGGTGTGACCTATACTGGCTGACCTGCTGTGTGAGCACAATGGTGTTGTGTTTAGGAACACACACAGCAAGAAAAGAGGAACCTGTCGCTGTTCACATCATCCAAAGTCCAACCCAGTGCCCTCCCTGGCTGCTTCTTGCTTACTGAAAACCAGGCCGACTGTGTGCTAACACAGTTTGTCACTATCTGTGTGTGTGTGTGTGTGTGGGGTGGGGGTGGTGGGGGGGTTGGTCAGCAGCAATAGCTTGGCTGCGTCTGTTGGTTAGTAGCAATATTTATTTAAAGCAACATGCTGTCAGCCAGCATAACATCACATAGTAGAGATAGAACAGAGGCATGTGAGAGAGAGTGAGAGAGAGAAAGCTGGGTAAATACATAAGTGGGGGTTGGGAGAGTATAGAAAACAGGGAGGGAGTTAATGTGCGAGAAGAGGAAGAGACAAGCACTCATTAATTTGAAGCAGTTACATTATGCTACTGGCTCAAGCTCACAGAGTTTGTTGTTGGAGCTGCTGGAGGCAGTATTTGAATGTAAACTAGTCTCAGCAGCAGAGGAGAGCTGTATTATCATCCCTCACTACAGCACTATATACATTTTACTCCTACTGTTTGTTGTGCTCTACTGCATTAGTAGCAACTGATGTATTCGTCCCGCTGCCATTGTCTTCGGTCGACACAGAAGCTGTGGTAGCTGTCACTTTGGGAGTTTGTCACATCAGTCAAACCAGAGCCAGGTTAGGCGTTGTTATTTCTATTAGTCGACTCATAACAGCTGTGTCATCATCCACGCCTGCTGACATTTACACACATTTTTGCTGTTGGAGTGATCCAGAGGTGTGGAACCAGGCTAATCCAGTATCACAGTATCTTACCTAAAAGGTGAAACTGTAACATTGCAACTTACAGGTTGACAAGTGACCCGAGGTACATAAGGAGATCTTAGAAATCTCATTCTAGAGGCACCCTTGTAGAACGCGTAGCGTAAAAATGTGACAGTATGCTCTGTTATCGCCATATATTTTCTTCTTCTCTGTGCTGCAGCTTTTCACCTTGGAGTGTGGCTGTTTCCGATTAACATCGTGCAAACCCTCTCTGTTTGAGCATGTCCTGACCCCCTGTGTCATTTGCACTGCTTTTTTCTTTGCTAAAAACAATTTAGTTTTATAAATTCCCAATGACCTTCATGTTATTTCCTGGTGTGCCTCACTCCCTTTTGCTCTCTCGTTTCGGCTTTGTCTGACTGACACATTTGAACAAGCTTTGTGTGTATGTAACAAATTGAGCAGCTTACATTTTGCTGTGGGAAGTGTTCACCTGGAGACTGAGGGGGTGTTTGCAGTTCTCTCACATTTCTTTATACTCTTCTATTTTGCTATATCTATAGTACTGTTCTTAGCTCTTCTTGTAGTGTCTCAACTGGAGGATCCAGAGGTTCCTCAGTGTGCTATCTTGTCAATAAGTAGAGCAATATCAATAAATGAATAATAGTCAATGATAGGTCAAGGTTTTTTCTCATTAATTATAAATAAATATTATTGTTCAATGATCTGTTGAGTTCAAATGTTTTCAAACCCAGCTGACCTGAGCTTTCTCTTTCTTTTGCAGGACTCTGACTCCTACTCTGTGGAAGCTTTGTGTGTTTGTGTGTGTGTGTATGTGTATCAGCGGGTGCGTATAGCGCCATTGTGCAGTGTGTGTGATGTCGGCAGAGCTGCTGGTAGATTTGGGTGATGACCCTGCGACTGCACAGTTAGGGCAGCTGAAGCTGGCCACGATAGAGGACCAGCAGTGGCCCGCTGATGAGTCTACTCTCAGCAAGTCAGGTGAGTTTTTTTTTTTTTATTACAACTGCAAACAAGCAAAAAAAACCTATGAGCTCATGACTCAGAAAACAAAGGGACCACAATTAGAATAGATGTACGCTATATGACACCATCTTTACCAATACATCTATCAGGGACCGAGCTGGCAGGCATGAGGAGTCAAGGGTAAATTTTAACCACAAGGGAGTAATTCTAGTTTCTGTTTCAGGTATTTATGTATTGTGTGTGTGTTTCAGAGACAGACATCTCCCAGCGCTTCGATGCTGACTCTCCCCACCTGCCCTGGGACCATCCCTTCTATGACATTGCCAGGCATCAGATCATTGAAGTGGCAGGTCAGTCCTCCAATCACAGCCGTCTGTTTGTCTCCCATCTCGACTGTCACATTAATAGTTGAATTTATCTTTTGCAATGAATGTGTTGCTTTTATCTTTTACCAATATTTCTTTAGAGTGACATTTCCAGTTTAATTAGGATATTTTAAGAGTAGGAACAGTTTGATACAGCGAAAGTAATCTGTTTTATTATTGATGTTGATTAATGTTAAATCCCTGTCTGTCTGTCTGTAGGTGATGATAACTTTGGCAGGAAGGTGATAGTGTTTAATGCCTGCAGAATGCCTCCACAGCACCAACTGGACCATCACAAGCTGCTGATGTAAGTACTGGTGATTTAAGGAGAAGTGGGAAGTGAGATTAATGAGACGGCAACTTTTTCTCCTTTAGAATAGAATAACACTACATAGAGCGGTTCCTCATTCAAGTGTGGCATATTTACATTTCTATATTTTAGTTATGCTGAGGTACTGCTTGAGCCCAGGATTATTTCTGTACAGAAATGCTTGGTGACTACAAAAGGGAAGATCAAGGATTTGGGTAGAATAAGTCTCATGTTGTTGTTGCTCTTGTGCCAACTGAATCTCACCTCACAAAGTTTACTAATTTTCTATTGCTACAGAAGTGTCCACTTTGGTTGGATAGACTACAGAGCCATTGCAATAATTTTTCGTCTCACAAGCAGTGAGCTATGGGTGGTAGTTATTACAACTGCTGACTAAATTGGATAAAACATTTGGTTCATGGTCTGTAGAGGATTTCTTTTAAGGGTGCTCCAGTTGATCCACTCCACTGTAGATAGTTTGATTGGTGGTTTTTGTAAACGGCGATCAGAAGAGCTGATCAGTTTAATTTAATTCCATTTATTCCACAGGAAAGTTATGTTATACAGTATATAATAGATAATTAGCATATATAGATTAAAGTACTGACAGTAGAGTAAACTCAAACACTAAAATAAAGTGGAGAATTTAGTATAATTAAAATGGTGAAATAAGAAATGACTTGTAGAAATAGAAATATTCCGCATTCTGTGAGAAACGTTAAACTCTAAGCTGCTCCCAGTAACCAGCATAGGCTCGTATGGTTTAAGTTGTGTGTCTAAGAGAGAGAGTGAATATTTTCGTTGCCTGCCACAGTTGTCAAATCATGATACTTTCTTATCTCTTAATTGTAATACTTGATATACAATGTTATTAAGAGTATTAAAATAAATAAGGGTACACAAAAATCCACAAATATTTGTATTGGTTATCAGATCAGCTCCGGATGTGAGCAACAGGGAAGTCAATTCTGCTTCTCTACAAAGGCATTTCTGCATTTATCAGCTGTCTGACTATATAGGGTGGCAGGAAACTTGAGTAGAGGGAGATCATTTGCAGTAAAGGTCCTTGGTTGAAATCACACCAGGGATATTGTTGTCACATAGTAGCTGCTGGCTCATCGGAACACATCCATATGACCCATTATGAACCAGGACATGTTTCTCAGAAGTCTTCAAAGGGGAAGTGTCTCAATAACTTCTGTGAAGGGAAACAAATGCTACTTCACAGTTTATTGCATGACGTGACCGCTTCTGTAACATGCTGAAACACTAGGATGGTTGGTAAAGATGTGGCTCCTTAGTAAGTAAGTAGTAACAATGAATGTGTTTTATTTTTTTATTTTTTATTTTATATTTTCTGCAGGTATCTTAAAGGAACACTGGATCAGTATGTTGAAAGTGACTACACTCTGATCTACTTCCATCATGGGCTGACCAGTGAAAACAAACCATCTCTCAGCTGGCTACGTGATGCATACAGGGAGTTTGACAGAAAGTAAGCACAGTAACATCTCTAGAGATCTTATCCGTGTCATCTGTACAGTACATTTTTATGTTTTTTTTATTTTCACGTGTTTGTGATTTCAGGTATAAGAAGAACATCAAGGCTCTGTATATCGTCCATCCCACCATGTTTATCAAGACCCTGCTGATCCTCTTCAAACCAATCATCAGGTTCTTGTTTTCAAATTACTGTACATGTAGGGTCATGCTACACTTCATTTAGCTACAATTTAATGATCTCATTTTAAGCCTAGTTTTCCTAAACTTTGATTTTTGTTGATCTTTCAAACAGTCCTCTTCCACCATTTAATCTAAATTCTTTCATCTATATTATATTCACACAATGCAAAAGTCCAACTTGGCTAAGATAAGATTTTGATAAGATCGTTACACAAAGCGAATGGATCCGTCTAACGTTAGATCACATCCTCGACACATTTTACCATTAAAAACGGTGATTACCTGTGATTCAGTAAATAACAGAGAGTAGTAGAAATAAAAATCTTGGCAAAGAAGCCTAAATGATGCATTGAACTCATAAAACATTACTGTACAATAAAATATTATTTTTTAACATAACACCTTATAATAATAAAAATATAATAAAATTACCTTAATAGCATGACACATAAATGATCCTAAATATTTGGATGCTATCTGACTACAACTATATAAAAACATGTTTGTCAGATTGCTAGTGACAGTTAGAGACATACAGTACAGTATTACTGTGGTTAGATTAGTCCTCATGTGCTTCTACTGTGGGGAAATCCTGCTGTTTAACAATCACTGGCATGTTTTCACTGTCTCAGAGAGAGTGACTGTTTCAGTGATAAAATTAAACCAACAAAATCTTAAAATAACACAGTGGTGTGAATATTTCTATTACTTTTCCATGAGTTCCTGTGGTTTCCAAGAAATATGTACCATCTATCTAAGGAAGCCTTTAAGCAATGCTTTCATTAAGGAACACATTTATTCCGTATGGATTTGGGGTAACACAAGTGGTGAAATCACTAGAGACGTGGCTCTAGTAACATCTAGTGGCAGTTGTAGAAAACTACAACAACACAGGCAGATGTGTCTCTTTTTTTGAACAAATCTAAATATCCACCCAGTAGTATTACAGATAAAATTTGCCATGTTTTATGTCAAAACATTAAAACAGACACAGACATCTTATGAGGCTTAACCAGCACTATGGAGAGAGGGAAAATTATTATTATTATTATTATTATTATTTTCAACCCAGCATTTGGCAATAATATCATCATTCTCCATTTAAAACTAACTAGTCTACAGCAACTGCTTGCAGTGTGTGAATGCAGAAAATTATGAATCATTTATCATAGTCATTTGAAGCTGATTTTGTCTGTCTCTCTCTCTCTCTCTCTTTGAAGTTTTAAGTTTGGCAGGAAGATCAACTATGTGAGCTATCTGAGTGAGCTGGAGGATGTGGTAAAGTGTGATCAGCTGATCATTCCTGCCCGTGTCAAAGAGTAAGAGCTGGTGTCGCACTGCATTTTTGTTCTCAAAATCCACATTGAAATTAGACTCAAGATTTCCTTACTGCATTCTACTGTCATAATTTTCTCTGGTATACTGTGATAATAGTATTTTTATCATTTCCACAAGGAAGTCATCTGAACCTAAACATATTTAGTCTCCTTCATGCACAATTGACCCTTCCTAAGTCCCGCTCCTATTTCTGTGTTCCAATAACAGTTGAGCAACAGTTGAGCAACAGTTGAGCAAGCCTCTAACCGTAAGCCTCTGACTCAACTGTTATTGGTGCACAGAGCAAAAGAAGGGACTTAGTTCAAGTTCAATTAGTGTACAACTTTGTTAACCTTTATAATAATGAAGTTATTTTGTATAATCTTTATCCTTTCCTGACTTAGATATGCTATGTGCGAATCAAATTTTGAAGATGATTTAAAAAAATGACTTATGTTAGGAAAACATTAGCTAACTAGCTTACTAATGATTGATTTAAATTAGCTAGCTGTTGCTAATATTAGCTTTCAGATGTAACTAGCTAGCTAATTGATGTAAATAAGCTAACTATCTAAGACTGGATGTAGATTAGCTGGCTAGTAAGTTTTTGCTAACTTTAGCTAACCAACTTAAGATGTGGCTTTTATCTTTTAACTATCTTCAAAATTTGGTTGTTTTCTCAACATAGATTAGCCTAGCCCATTGCATATCTAAGTACAGGAAAGGAGAAAGTGGACTTAACTGTTATTGGAGCACAGAGCAAAAAGTGGTGGGAATTACAAAGAATCAATTAGCATTATATCTACATTTTATAGAGTGATAATCATCCATTCTAGATTCATACGTGAGGTTTAAAAGTACCTAACAAGTTGCAGAAAATAGTTTGTGCCAAAATTGCAGGTGCCTGTCTCAAAACTGAGAAGTCAGAAGAACTAGTTTACTTCTCTCTGCATCAGGAGAGCCAGACATGAGAGGTGCAAGCAGCATTTTGGTCAGACAAAATGAATTATACAGTACATTAAATCTTATAACATGGGGCTTGACACTTGCCTTCTGTAGATAACAGACACAAACAAGCAGTACAGATCACAAGATCAGCACTAAGTATGAGTAATTAAGCCTGTGACCTAACGCATCGGGGTGAGCAAAGTATTCAGAAATATGTGTTTGACATATCTTTAGCCTTGAAAACACATCGCATTTTTTTGCATAAGCAGAAGCTAGGTCAGTGATCTATTTTTAATGTCCACAAATGTAACTTTTTTTCTGTTTCAATATGGAAACAACAGCCTGAAAGCTCATCATGGTAATATAATGAGCAAAGAACATGAGGCTATTTTCAAGCATGGCCCCTCTGGCACAAACACCGTTCCCTGATCATGCTCCTACACTATTAAATGATAATAGGCGTTGCACTTGACATCTAACCTTTCCTCATCTCACCTCTTCCCTTTTTTAATTACCATTTCACACACGGACTTCACTGAAAGCCTCCTGTGTAATTTATTCAACAATCATGATATTCCTCGAGGAAAGAGGTAACAACAGACTCCCTGCTTGTCTCCCCCCCTCATCCTTCAGTGACTCAAAGCATCACTGCTCACTCTGTAGTGCTGATCCTCATGTGTCCCTTAACCCCACCTCACGAGGGGACACAGCAGGGGCCGCAAAACAACATACACAGAGTGGCTTTCATGGGCCGACAGCTTTTGGATCCCTGTGCTGAATTCTCTTGCCTTTGGAGGACACAGAGCACCCAAAGGATAACACAGACACACACACAGTGTAGTCATGTATATTCAGTCAGGGAGGAGGATTGCTTTGCCTCTTTTATGTCTTTTTACAGTGTGCCACTGCAACACTGTGCCACACAGAATACATTTCTAATTCATTTATTCTGAACCAAAAGAATGATGGAATATAAATCTGGTACTGAGAATTATGTTGTTTATGGTTAATCTAAAAAGCAAATATCCTTATGTACCCAGCTGAGATCTGGTATTATACTTTTTTAACTTACTTTCTTACTTGCTGAACAATACTGTGTTTAATAAGATAAAAACAGACATTGATTGTGTAAATATGGATAATGCACAAAGATTGAGTCGGATGTTCATGCATGAAACATTTAAATTAACTGGAGAAAACCTGGGAGATGAGGAAAACATTTTGTTTTAAGTCTGTAGCAGTTCTGTTAGGTGTAAAAGTATTACTTCAAATATGCTGTTTGAAAGAACACTGTAGTACTCTATAATGTGGTGATTTTAGGGACCACTGACTGACATATTTTATGTATATTTCATATTATATTCAAATCTGTACAATCAACCCAAATAGTGAACTTTTGTGCAAAACCGGTGATTTGGACTTAATAGGCTTCTTAAGTTCTATTAGACAAGTTATTTTACTTTTCTTCACATAATTGAACCAAATACTGAGATATAAATCTACTGTGTATATTTTTTAAAGTTTTCTTACACCCCTTAAAATCAAGAAGGCCTTGCGACCCCCCCATGAAGCTTTGGGTGACCCTTGGTGAGTACCCCTGACATAAATGAATAATTAAGCTTAAAATGATATATTATCATAAGGGGTAGGCTTAATGAATCACTGTGTGGGAATAATTAAAAAAAAAAAAAAGAATAATTTATGTCTTAATCTTGTGTGTCAGTGCCAGAACACCTGTCCCATCCCATATATGGCAGTGGTTCCCAACGCTTTATCCTTAAGGGACGCCCCTTTTTTGCTAATGCATTTAGTAATGGCTGACTGGAGTGGCTTATTTTAATGGATTGTCATAATTTTATAAAAAAAATTTTCCAAAAACTGTAGCAATGAACCCAAAAATAGTAAACTCAGTAAGCTATAAGCACGTTTTAGGTGTAAAACGAGAGAATTCTGGATTATTTCCTGTTGTTGTTGTTGTTGTTGTTTACTGTTTATACAGTTTTCTGTCCTGTATTTATGTATTTTTCTTTTAAATGCATTTTTAACAAGCCATCACAGAACTTACTTGCATTCTTTTTTTCTGAGCAAAGCTTGGAGTTTTCTTTGTCCCTGAACGCTTGCCATTTGTTGTATTATATAAACTTTACTGGCAGTGGTTTTCCAACCTTGGGGATC